AACAGAAACGAAATCGAGAATATAAATTCCCATTATATCATTCTGAAACTTAAACTATCAAAACACAAAATCAATCCTTGCACGAAGCTAGGATCGTACACACGAACTTGATCTTTGCAGACGAACTGCAAAAATCAATTTCGCTGTTCTTTCCTATATTCTGCACAATGATTGAAGTTGTGCAATGACTGGATGTTATCCTTCAATGTGTATTTTTTTATTGTGTTTTTGTGTTTTGTTGTAGAAGGGGTGTTCTATTTGAATAGAATAGGAGAAACTGAAAAAAATTCAAAGGAAACAAATCAAAGGAAGGAAATAGACAAGCGTCATCTCTGATGTCTTCACTTAGCATAGTATTACAAAGAATGGTGTTTACATAAGAAAATGTTACGATGAAATTTTGTTCAATAATGAGTAACTAAGCAACCGATTTCGTGTGATAAAGCAATAACGATAGGTCGACGGAATTTATTTTGACATGTTCCCTTAGTCGAAGTAGTGATTATTTTTTTATTATCTTCTAAGTTTCTGTTAACTTGATCGGTTTATTGTATTGCAACTTAACATTGGACAGATTTCGTTTTTCCGTGGCTGTATCATAATTTATTTGCAGTTTGATTCATTGTTTTGTTTCTATTCAGATCCAAATTGTGATATTGTCAGTACATTAACAGTTTGTAAATATTGCAATTGTGCAAAATGTACTTTGTGTGATGAAAAAAATTTGTCAGATATGCGAACAACGACAAAAAGTGCATTGACTTTATTGAAAAAAACCGATCAACAAGAATTAAAAGATTTTTTAACGTTTACAACCATTATTAACAATATTTAATTATTATTTAATTTCAAGGATCAATTCAGAGTGCCTACAAAAATGTTCGTACTGAGATTTGTCAGGCATTCCAAAATATTCAACAACAGTTTGATTCTATTCTATTGAAGAGACAAATGGAAATATTAACTAAACTCGAACAGAATGAACATATACAACTTCAGTAAATGACAAAGATTAAACTGAGAAATGTAAAACGTCGTTCTACTGTCGTTGTAATTTTGGTTTATTTTTAGACAAATTCAACAAGATATTACTCCGTTAGAACGCATGAAATTTGAATTGAGTAAAAAATAGACACGCTGTTCAACAACCAGAGTTCATCCGTCTGCCTTTTTCTTTCTAGTAAAAGCGAATTAGACTTAATAACGCCTGAAGAGATTTACAATCAAAACTACAAGAAACATTAAACAATCATCAAGTCAAAGTTAATATAAGTAAATATTTTTTACTCGTCATCAGAACAACATGGAACATAGTTAGCACAAATTACATAACATGAGAATGTTGTTGAATAAATTAAGCGATGTATTGGTAAGCCTTAATCATTGAATCGTTTTCGTGAAATTTCGACCTCAATTTACACAATTTGATACGTGTAGATCTATAAGCCGGCCATAAAGCAAGCAGATATAACATTTTTTGTCACTAATAAGAAGAATTTCTCCATCATTAAAAGAATCATCTCCTTTTCCGTTGTAGCAGATAGAAGTATCGCTGAGATATGAACCAACTCTTTAATCATTTGCATCATTTATGCAACGGTTTTCAATTAATCATCACAGATGGATCCTCATCGGTACGTACATCTAATCCATCATCATCAGCAAATAACTTAAACCCCCGTCCACATTAGAAGCCCAGTGGGCTTCTATTATGTCCCACAAGAAAGGCAATATTTTCTCAAAAAGTACCCTATGGGGACAGGGGCAATTTTCAAAAAATTTCTTGCCAGGCTAGGCTTCTAATGCGGGTGGGCTTCTAACGTGAGGTGGGTTTAGGGTATGTCATGAAGATGTTTCGTAAGTTGTCTTTTGAATCGTGTTTCATTTCTATGTATTAGTAATTCTAAGATATTTACAGTACAAACAGTTTTGGGTCGACAGTTCAAACTGAAAGTCAACGTAAATGATCCATTATTAAAATTGAGACAACACTTGGAAACCAAGAAGGTATTGATTCTACACGTATAATATTGTCAAAAAGCGACACTCTTTCTGAAGAATTGGACTATAATAAATCGTTGAACGATTATAATTTTGACGAAACAACAGTTTTAATGGTTTGTATGAAAAATGATGTATAAAGCAATATCAAATAAGTTAATTCATGCACATTGTTTACAAGCTGTATTTCCTTGCTTTGTTATTGAGTAAGAAATATTCCGTTATTTAATTTTAGAAAACCGAGCTTTTAATTTATAATAAAAAATGTTAAACGAAAGTGGTGAATTATATCTATGCGACTTTAGTCATTTATACATCTTTATTATTATTTTGAGTAAATTCGATCAAAATGGAGATACTTCAAAGATACATTTTCACTATGCAGCGTATTTAATGAATAGAACAGGTGACAAAGTTCGAAATAGGATGTGACGGTAATTGTAGGTATGTTACACAGTTGGGTAAGAAAGCACCACTAGTGTGACTAAAGTGTGGGCGATACTCCCTTTTTTCTATGTGACAAAAATTAACGTGATGAAGGTGCTATCATCCAAAGAGCAAGTCTGTGCATTTCTTCATGATGAGCAGAACGATTTGGTGATCAACTGCTCATCGTTGCATTCGCATTAGCTGCAATAAAACAGTGTTCAGCTACCTTGCACCTTATGCTACAGTCACAAAGCGTCATTGGGCTCTAGTTTTTCAACATAATCTTTTCTGTTTGATTCACATTGATTTGACTCGCTCATTTAGTTGAACCAAACAAATCGCGTCTGAAACTTAAATTTTATGATCTTTGAAAAACACAAATCGTTCAACCCCATGAATTTGATCATACATTCCCACCAAGGTCGATTCAAGGAACGATTTATAATCAAATAATAGGTTCGTATTTTGGTTTATTTATTATTGAACAATTACTAATTTCTTTGAATGAAAAAGACTATCATCTTTTGTTTTAGTTTGATAATCATCTCCTCTTTTTAGACAAAATAATTTATTTTGAGTAGAGCATATTTTAGTGTAGAGGAAAGTAAATACGATTGTGTTCAGTGAAATGCTTTTTATTTGTACAAAAGTTGTGATTATTTTAAGCTTTTATTCCACTAATTGTTCAACGGAAATATGATTCATACTATCAATATGTTCGCTATAAATGGTACATGAAATGTGGATACATGTCATCCTGTCGATTTTTCAGCCCGCATGTAGATGATGTAATTAAACAAATTCTCTATGAATTCGAAGTTCAACAAAACGATTATGCTCATCGAAAACGGTTTAAAAAAAGTAAATGCGATTCAATTTCGAGAGAATAGAGAACAAGCTTTATCTTTAAATCTGTTTCTGTTGCGACTTCTAATACTAGTGATTGTTTTAAACATCTATTACCAATAGCCACATTTTTCTGCCATTATATTCGAGACGCTATTAAATACGCTGGTGAAAGCGCGAACATCTTGAATAATGCTGATGATCGCCAGATTGATGCATGCCGACATTGTGCCGTTTTAATTATTGGTGCCCTTCATGGTTATAGTAAAGAACAGTTATTAGATACAAAATTTTGCGATGAACATTTATTGAAATGGTTCAATAATCAAAAATCACACAAGGATGCTGAAAAAATTGCAAATGGAGATCAATGTCATCATCATCATCATTTACAATCATTACAATTAGCATTAGAAACATTTAAGAATGATGAAAACGATATTGAACAAGGCTATATTCCCTTGACTGAAAGTCTAGGGTCATATGAAATAAATGTCGGCGTCGGCGTCCGCATGTGACGGACGTACATACATATAGTGGCCAGTGAGTGTGACGGACGTACATACACATAGTGACCAGTGAGTGTGACGGACGTACATACACATAGTGACCAGTGAGTGTGACGGACGTACATACACATAGTGACCAGTGAGTGTGACGGACGTAC